TAAAATCGAGCATTATGTTAACCCCTTTTTATATTAATTTTTGCTTTATTTCAAAGACTGCATAAATCGTTCATCCTAAAAATATGCAATGCTAGAAATAGTTTCGTTTATAAATGAAAATAATTTTAATAGTGTGGTGGATATACATAGACTGTTTTTAAAAGCAGTATTTTCACTTGTTGAAGGGAAAAGTGCTACAATACAAACCATTGGTTTGACCCAACTTTATTATAATGTGATTTATTATTTCATTAATCAATTAGTTTTATATGTATTACAGTTATTAATTATAAGAAATATCAAAAGGAAACAAACCTAAAAAACAACCAATTCTAACTGTAGGTGCATCACTTATTTTGTATGAATACGTACTTTTTTATTTCTTTTTTAAATTCGGAGATGTTATCAATATTTTTCAGTTCGATTGTTAGATTATTGTAGTTTTTCAAACAGTTATACAAACAGTTATTTTTCTGATTGTTCGTCTTGAATAAAAAAATAAAAGTTAAGTAAAAGTTAGATTTATTACGCGTATTGTAATATAAAATTATGCTTAATCTAGTTAGAATAATATCTAGTTTCGATAAGGCCGATTGAGATGCTCGGTTCCAAATAGGATTGAGGTATAATAAAGGAACAGCAAATAGAATAAAGCATATTAGATGAAAGATCATTTCGGAGACGTTTTAATATAACATGTTCTGTTCACTTTTGTTTTTAATCAAGGGCTACTCCAAGGTAATTAAACGATTTAATCACGTCAACAGCAGTACCATTGAATTAAATGGAAAAATCGTTAATTCTTTTGTTTTCAAAAATCATGATCTTCGTTTTTCTTACATTAGCTTCGTTTATTAATTGGAGATCTTCCTTAATTGATAATCTTAAATTATATTCATCACTTTCAGCGTACTTTATCACTGCATCGTCCTCATAGAGCTGCATAGATCCTTTAAGATTTAGATTAGCTATGTCGTTGATATATATTTAAAATAAATCTGGCTCTGAAATGGATCCCTGGAACACCCTTTTATTTTATTTCGTAGAAAACACGCAAGCCGATGTTTTGCTATTGTTTCGAAAATTTTTGATAGGGCTGGAAGTACAGAAATAGGACGATAATTTGAACATTTATTTTTACATCTAGTTTTAAAAATAGGTGTCACAATTGCTTTTTTTAACGATTGGGAAAAACATGAATTTTCAAATGAAACGTTTATAAATTTTGCCAGAATTACTTAGCAGATCAGAAAACCTCGCTGATAATACTTAGCAGATCAGAAAACCTCGCTGATATTAATTAATTTCGCTGATATTTTGTCATATCCTGCAGCTGCAGCAGAATTTAAAGATTTAATAATTTTTTTGACTTAGTCATCATTGGTTGGTCTTAAGTTAAAAGACGAAAAAATATTTGGAACGAAATATTCTAAATAACTATGGTCAATTGGATTTTTAGAGATATTCATTTTGTCTGTTACATTTATAAAAAAACTTATTCATGCTTTCAGCTATATCACTTTTTTCTGAAACATTTTGTTCATCAATCTCCAGTTTTTTAATATTAAAGGATCCTTCAAATTTGATATCTGTATTGAATATGATTTTTTTATAAATACTCCAAAGTGCCCTCCTATGATTTTGACTTTTGGAAAGTTTATCTGAATAAAATTTCTTTTTGGTTTCAAAAATCAGTTGTCTAACATCTTCTTTGGAATCCTTGTATAATTTTTGCACAATTCTGCATATTTCCTTCTAAATTTAAAATATGAGTTACGAATTTTAATTTTTGGTAAAATTTCGCTTGTCATTCCCTCGCGCGTTTGAAAGGTAGATAATTTTTCTGTTTAGTTTCATTTTAATAATATTAGATTTTGGTTTGAATATAAAAAAAATTAAGTAAAAGGTGTCAAAACAAAGTAAATAACAAAAACAAAAATAAGAAAAATAAAATAAACAACAAAAAGAATAAAAATTGTGTACCAAGATAATAATTAAAATGTACCTATGTATGTATATAGCAATTTGCATTTACTGCGATGACAAAGATACTTAATTCCTATTTCCATAAAAATAAAAAATAATAATTTCTATAATATTGTTGAAGTTAATTAGATTGTGAATTAATTTTTTGTGCTGAATTGATAAGTTTCCTTCTAATAAATTGAATATCATTAAAATTATTAATTCTAAATACCTTAGCATATTCTTTTTCTTGTAGAAGAATGTTGTTGTCTCTAACCTGAGGTCATCTACATATTTCCTTCTAAATTTAAAATATGAGTTACGAATTTTAATTTTTGGTAAAATTTCGCTTGTCATCCCCTCGCGCGTGCCATTTTTTTTCTTAATTTTTATAGTTTTGGTGTTGTTTTAAACTAATTAGGGGAGTTTCTCAACAAGGTTATCAAAATAATTTTCGAATTCAAGATTTTCCCATATTGCATAGTTTTCCAGATTTTCGTACATCAAAACTGCATTTTCTACATCCGGCTTGATGTCTACACTCACAAAAAATAGCTGACGATCAGAAAGACAGGTATCCAATATGTGAAAATTGTACTTGTTTTGGATAACATATCCGTTATGAAGTGATCAATAATAGTATTTGAGCTAACTCTAGTGGCATATTCCGGCATTAATTTATTATAGATTACATACCCATTGCTAAGCAAAGCATTTGTGTATAGTGATCCACCTCCATGCAATTAGCCTTCAATAACTTTATATTGAAATCTCCCAAAATAATAGAATTTCGCGTTTTCTCAGTTATTTCATCAAATTTAGTGATGAAATCCGCAACTCGCGCTTTATGATTGCGATTAGCTACCGTAAGAAAAGTAGCTAGTTAGATTCTATTTTCTCTATGAGCGTACTATTGATCTTTGAGTTATACCCAGGTAAATTATAAAAACAGTTTTCCGCTTCTAAAAAGCAAATTTCAGTTAGAGCATTAACGTGTACTTCATAATTATATGAGTTTATTAGTGTTTCTAAATCATTTAATTTGTTTCGCAAACTTTGTTTGTTAAGATATAATATGTTCAGATTGCTATTATTCATAAAGTTATTATTTGTGTCTGAAAAATATATGACCTTCAAGTCACTTTTAAAATTCACCGAGTCATATAACATCACCATTAGAAAATTTAAAGGTCAAAAATAAAATAAATCGAAAGATGCTGGTAAGAGTTAAATTTATAACAAGAATGCAGAAAACACTGATTACATCAACTAATATTAATGACGTCACGGCAGAACATCGTTACCCATTATGATAATATAGGAACAAACATTTTTCAATTCATTCAGTCTGTGAATTACCTTTTTGCGTGATGTATCATAAAGAAAAATAATTTTAATAAGTGGAAATTTTTCGGACATATACTAAAGATATTAACATTACACGCTTTTATTGTAAAACTTATTTTAACAAAATAATTAATATAATGAGAATTTAATAATATAATGAATAATTTGTTAATAATGCGTATATTTTGTAAAATTTAAATTTAGTAGAAAAAAAAGATTTATTCGTGCTTTATTAAAGCACGAATAAATGGAAATAATATTTATTACCCCGAGTATTCTCAAGTTTGAAAGGTAGATAATTTTTCTGTTTAGTTTCATTTTAATAATATTAGATTTTGGTTTGAATATAAAAAAAATTAAGTAAAAGGTGTCAAAACAAAGTAAATAACAAAAACAAAAATAAGAAAAATAAAATAAACAACAAAAAGAATAAAAATTGTGTACCAAGATAATAATTAAAATGTACCTATGTATGTATATAGCAATTTGCATTTACTGCGATGACAAAGATACTTAATTCCTATTTCCATAAAAATAAAAAATAATAATTTCTATAATATTGTTGAAGTTAGTTAGATTGTGAATTAATTTTTTGTGCTGAATTGATAAGTTTCCTTCTAATAAATTGAATATCGTTAAAATTATTAATTCTAAATACCTTAGCATATTCTTTTTCTTGTAGAAGAATGTTGTTGTCTCTAACCTAAGGTATTTAAGTTCATATGGTTTTTTAATCTGTTACACTTCATAAAAAAGTTTTGACTGGAAACATGTAAAATGATTGCGAAAAAAGATTCCTCTATTGTTGCATTCTTCTAATCCTAGTTGAGGTGCAAAAATATGTTTTTTGCTACGTTTTTTTTTAATATCTGTTTTAATATTTTCTGAATTCAGTTCCACTAAATACAATTGATGATATCTTCCCTTCTGATGCTAGATCAATTTTTTCACCTATTCTCAAAAAAATATCTACTGGATTTGATAAATGCGGTGGTCACTTCAATCCAGTCACTTCAATGTTATTTTTGTTTTTATCTTGTTGATATTTATCCAGTTGGGGCTCCAGGTGATTTACTTTTTCCAGATTATTGCACCTACTATACTAGTTTCTCGGAATTAGTTCTTTATTGTTTTATTTTGTAATAGAAGTTTGTTCTCTTCGACAAGAATACTCTTTTCTTTCTAAACACTTACATATTTCAATTTTTGTGGAACGCATACATACTTAAAGCAAATTTTTCTTCTGTTGAGAATCATCATTTTGATTGAAGACTTACCTCTGAGTCCCATTGGAAACAATGTATAACAATGAAGTAAACGTTTCCTTGTCCGTCTTAGATACCTACAAATAAATAAAATGTTATTTAGAGAAAATCCTCAAACTGGTGAATTTCTTGAAAGCAAAAAGAACTTATATTCATATATTCTGATTTACTTGAAAGAAATACCATATTCTTATTCACAAGAACTTGAATATATTTAAGAAATTGGTGTGACAAAGATATGCGCACTGATCTTACAATATTCTTGGAAAAATGTTAGTCTCGGTTATAATAAAATCAAGAACAAGCCAAATTTACAACAGTTTGGAATAGTTTTCATATTCTTTTGCGTAATACGAAATATTTTGCTATTTGATTGTTTTACCATATGTTGAACAAATTTAACATATTTTTAATAATTCCTAGGTTTGGTTTCAGAACAAAAGATCAAAAGAAAGAAGACTGAAACAGCTTACAAGTATGGGACGGGGCCCATTTTTCAGTGGAGCTAGAAAAATTCGTGGCTTTCCAATGAACTTAGCTGCCGGGGCCCTAGATGAAGCCTCTTCCTCAGTATTTCCATATTTTTCCTCAGATGTCAAATTTGAATATGGTTATAATGGACCTTTTCATGCTGGAGATAGCCCCTTTTATGCGGGACATCCTGTAGGACCACTTCCATATAGCGCTCAAGGCAAGTTATTACATTTAAAATTAAATTATAAAAAAATTTGTTTATGTGTCCAATTTTTCCATAAAGGTATCGAATTCGGATATCTTTTCGGCCGTAAGTATACATGTTTGCAATATTATTTATATGTTTGTTTTCCGAATTTAGTTTATACTTGCACATGACCTGACATTTATTGAATACATTTTTTTAACAATTACATTTTTAAGAGCTGTTGAACACCTATAAAGCTTAATGAAACACCTTTCCGTTTTTAGCTCATTGACAATCCTGCATGGTCTAACTACCTCTCGAAACTTTATATAAATTTTAAATGATCAAGGCATCATTTGCTTATTATAAGTACTACAAAATTCTGACAAAAAGGAAATGGTTGACGAATTTAGATTCTTGCAAAAATGCCAAAGTTGGGGACACCAATAAAAGCAAAACTTAAAATATTAATTTTTTCACTTAGTTATAAGCTCATATGATTATATGACGATCTTTAATATGATTAGGCATGATATGAGATGACGATCTTTAAAAATTTTCAAAGAACAAACACTTTCATTTAAAAAGTATACCTCATTAAGTTAACAATCTCTTGGACAAAAAATGTTAACTTGGCAAAAAAATTATGACTTAAATTTTTCATTCGTCATTTATAAAAAATATTTTAACATATTATTCTTTAATTGTTAAATTTATATTTTATTTTTAGGAACGCCTTTAGAGCCAGGGGGACACCTGCCCTTATTAAATGAATTTAGTGTTAATCCAGATTCTAATTTTATAAGCGGGCCGTCAATAAACTCAAGCAGCACATTAACTGTTCAACAACCTTTAGAGCAGCATTCAAGTAACTCGACGGGTCCAAGAACAAATTCACCAAATTTTATAGCATCTGGAAATTTTTCGGAAGCCCAAAATATGCAAAATGAAGGATTAGTATGGTAAAAGAGGCCTCTCGGAAATAATTTTTTTTTAATAGACTTTATTTAATTGTGAATATAATTAAATAAAAATTTTAATTTATATAGAAAAATTTATGAATAATTTACTATACTCAAAAAGAGAAAATCGTTTCAGTTTTTAGTTCAAATTTATTTAAATGCCTGATCTTTTAAAGCACATTAAATAACAGCACATAAAGGTTTAAAAGCACATAATTAAATAACAAAGGTGCCCTAGTTAGTGCTTTTTGTTTGAGTAAGGTTTTTTTTCTTTTTTATTTTATATACAGGGTGATTCAGAAAGGTTAGAGAGTCGAAAATGGGTAAAACTTTTGTTCCGGACTAGGTGCGATATCTCAAGACTTTCCGAGATATAGAGATTTTACGATTTTTCACGAAATTTCTACTTATTCAAGTTTTTTTTATTATAATCACCGTTTCAAAGAAGATAGGGGCTTCAAATAAACAGTTTCTGAAAGGCCTAATTAAAGACTTAAAACAAATCTGTTACGTGATTATGTATTTTATGTACTTTCGGAATACCAAGCATTCGAACTTTTGAAAAAAATCTAATTTTTTCCTTTTTTTATTTTTTTTTTTTCAACCCATTAACTTCTTGCGAAATTTTTGAAACTTCGAAAATTTTTTTAGGAATTTTTGCCACTTTCCCCAGCTTTAATTTAAGTCACTTTGTGTTGAAAAATATTTTATGGTACAGAAAATATAACACTAAAAGCTTTTTTATGTCAAGATTTTAAAGGACCTAATAATCCCCTCTATTATGTATATCGGTATCGGCCGATAAACGATAATTTATCAAAATTTTGTGTTTGTATTACCAACATTGTTTATCGGTAAATTTTATCGGAGTCGGGAAAGCTTTTTTTCCCTGTATAGGAAACGTATTAGCTGGTATTATGAAAACTATAAATTGTCGGGTTTTCACCGATTTAAAAGCGGGTACAAATTTTTAGACGACAGATTTTTTTTTTTGTAAAATCTTCATTTTATCTAGGAAACTGGTGTAATTAATTGCTTTTTTAAAATGTAAGCATTTTTTCTAAATTATTTTCTTTCAAAATGTTATTCATATATTTTATTTAGGAGTAAAATCATAAGCAACAAAAAACAAATTGCGCGGTTAGTAGAAAAAATGGAAGAGGACTTAAACCTGGCAAGGAATGATAATCTGAAATTCTGGATAAACCTAAAAAATATGTACATATTATATAAATAATAAAATAAAATAGGTACATAAACATACATTTTGTTGTCTAAATCCAATGGATTAGTTGAATCTCTTATATGTCGTCTTTGAATAGCATGCGTTTCTTCACTTTCAAAATATAATGCACGTGACATTTTCCCGATATATGTATACTTTTATTTTACAAATTTAACAGAAAATAATTTTCTTACAACAACTTTTTAGCACATCAAAACCAAATTCAAAATAGTTTTAAAAATTTTTTGAAAATAACTTTTGAAAGAAAACAAATGTCATTAGAAAAAAAAACATTTTCTCCAATTTACAAAAACAAAAATTTGTATGAAAAAGCTTCTTTTAATCGGTTGAAATATTTTTATCGGTATCGGTTCATAATACAGAAGAAACCCAAAACCGATGAGAACTGCCGATAATATATCGGCCGATACCGATGTTCATAATAGAGGGGAATATCTAAAAAACCAAAAATTATTATTTTTGATTTTTATTGATTTGAAAAGCAGTATTTATCACTTACTATTAATTTTTTATCGCAATATCACTCAAAAAACCAGTTAACATTTTTAAGAACTGGTCTTTTGATAAAAAATCTTAATTTTAATACTTTAACTGAAATTCAATAAATTGTTGTACTCAATCAATCAGTTGTTGTATACCTTTCTGAATCACCCTGTATAATAAGGAAATCAGCAATGAACGGACTATACCGATTGGCGAAACATTTTAGATTTTGATGAAAATATAATTTATACTATGTATTGGGTTATGCGACATATTTAGGTTCTGCAAAAATTAAAAACAATTAATTGTAGAAATTGGAGTTGATTTATCTACTCAAAGTAGGAAAAAAAGGGATGTCCATTATTATGAAAGGAATATCCATCCTCTATGAAATTTATGAATTTTATTTACATCGTGATTATTTTCTCGAAATTTAACTCAGTAAGTAATCTTTTAAATGGAAATTAAGAAGCGCTATATCAGTTGAATTGCTATAATTTTGAATTGTTATAAGGAAGTATAACATGTTTAAAAAAATTTCTTTTGAATAAGAACTTTCTTATAAAAATAAAATTTACACAACGCATTTCTTTTTTTGAGGGGCATAAGTGAGTAATAAGTTTTTAATTTAAATCTACTTAAAAAGAGTAAATCGTTTGTGCAACTACAAAAATTGTCTTCTTTACATTACTATAAAATATTATATACACAATGATAATATGCGAAATTATATTTCTCTAAATTATTACGATTAATATGCCAAGTTTCATGAATTTAGCTTTATTATTTTTTTAATTATTTTAAATTAGCTTTTGGGGTTCTATGGCAGCTACCCGAATCTGTCGAGAAATTCCATTAAAACACGAATGTTCAAATAGGGTTATATCTGGCCTGAAATTGGACACACGACTGCCAAGTTTCATGAATATAACTTTAATATTTTTCCAAATATTTAAAATTAACTTTCGGAATTGTGTGGCAGCTACCCAAACCAGTGCAGCTATTCTGAAATTTTAACGGATTCAGAATCCATGAAGAACGTAGTTGGACATACATATCTTTACCAAATTTGATAATAATACATCTATCGGTTTTTGAAATTTTTGAAAAACCTCTTTGAGTTGTGTGGCAGCTACCCGAACGCGTTGTCCGAATAAGCTTATTTACAATAAATAACAGCCGTCATTGTCACAAAAGAAAAAACTTGTGAAAGTTTGGTGTCGATTCCGTTACTCGTTTATGAGTTTTCGTGCGATTGGACTGACGGACGGACATATCTAAATCAACGTAAAATTTTACCCTGAGCAAGAATATATATACATGTCCATACTAGAACGACTCCTTTAAGTGCTTACAAGCTCCGTACCAAAGTGAACATAGCCTTCACGAAGGTGCAGGGTATAAAAATAGCGTGTTTTGATTAGGTGTAAAAGAATTATTATTTGTAGTTGGTATGTTTATGTACAATCTTCTCAAATCATATATTTCTTAATTCCATTATCTGACTTCATTAAGCCAATAATAATAAAATATTATTACTGTATATCAATATATATATCCACATATGTACATAAAAAAGTATATCCATTATGTTGTCATTTGCATATTATCAATTTTCAAGACTTGCTAGTTGCAGTACAAAAAAAAAGTATTAGTCGATTATCGTTGCATTCATGTTATTATTTTACTTTCATATTAGCTTTGGTACATAAGTGTATGTATGTATGTAATACATACATATGTATAATGTACTTGCATTGCCCCCTTTATTTCTAAATTGGGTATCGAAAAAATTGAGCACGCTTTTCTTATACATGTAATATAAATCCGTGACTTCAATAATGCTTTAAAAAAGATTTAAGTAGGGTATTAATACGGTTGTAGTACCGTCTCAGAGCTTTCAATACCTTTACATTGTAGAAAAAACTACTAAAGCATTTCGTACATTTTGGAATACAATTTTTACCATATCAATACAACTTTGACGTTTATTTGAAAATTTCAATATAAAGTTCTGTTCAAATGTTCATTTTTATAAAACGTTACCACATCATTAAAAACATAGCATTTTTATGCTGCATTTTGATAAAAAAACAATGGAAACCAAGAACTTTATTGCTGAAAATATATGCTAGTTTATTTTATCGGTTATTTGTGGTAACATTTATGTGACAAGATATAAGAAAAGCGTGCTCGATTTTTTCGATACCCAATTTCATTTTATTTTACGTCTCCACTACATATAAAATGCATTTAGGAAAAGTGTACAATGTCAAGAGCTTTTGCGAAACTTTTTGAGACTTGATACTTTGTAAAATTTACGTCGTGAGCGCATTATTGAAGTCAGGGAATGTTGCCAGAAATAACCATTTAAATAAACTAGCATATATTTTCAGCAATAAAGTGCTAGTTATTAAGTTTTTTTCCTAAACTGCAATTACATTTGAAATTTTCAAACAAGCGTCAAAATATGTATTAGTAATGTCTTTATATCTAACAAGTCCCAATACTCAATTTTTTTTACGAATTTTTGGCTTCGTTGCTGGTTTTTTCTTTAAATGCCACTGATCGTGTTATATTTTTTATTATTTTTTTCTTTTTTTTTAAGTAAAAAGAGTTTAATATTTTTAAAAATCTCAGGATATTATACACATTTTTTAAAAAGCTTCCCATTTAAATTCTATTGCACGAAAAAGAAAGAAAGGTAGGAGGAAAGAAAAAATGAAAAAAAATTTCAAATTCATATTTCAGTATGGTTTCAAATGTTAATGAGGAAGGGTGTATAATTTTTTATACAAATTTTGTATTTCCCAATAAGGTAAGTTGAGTAGTGTCCTAAATCCGGTCATAAAAATATATGATTGTTTTTTCCAAACATTTTCAATATTTTTTTTCTTAGGTAATTGATATCAATGATAGTAAGTTTTTAATATTTTTTCAAATAAAAATAGAGGTAAAATTTTGAAGTTTATATAAAATTTGTATTTAACAAATAATATTTGATTGTATTTTAGATATTATTTTCTAATTCCCTCTTCAAATTTTTTCTTTACTATGTATTCATATCAATATTCAATAATTATCTTTCATTAATTATATTTTCAACTTGACACCACAGTTACTCCCCATATCTTGAGTTAACTTACCCTATGAGAAAAAAAAAGCTGTTCACTTAAAAATAATGAAATGCTTTCAGTAACATATAAAACGTTGAAGGCGAAGGATGTGCTGGTTGTTTGTCCGCTTTTTTTATAATTTTAAAATAATTATCAATGAAAATATTAATATATTTTTTTGATTTTTCACATATATTTTCTAAATTTTACCTGCTTTATAATAAGTGTGAATTTATTTTAA